AGGGTATCGCTCGCCGTGGCGTTTGACCATGATCACTTGGTCGACGGCGCATTGTGCTGGCGGGTCGCGGCCGATGCCGTAGGATTTGCGGTCGACGTAGGGCCCGCGGATGCCATCGTATTTGAGGAAGTTGTCGCCGTCGAACACATGTTGCGAGATGTGGGAGGCCGGGAATGTGGCGGCGGTTGCTGCTGGGATCAGGAAGAGGGAGTAGGGGATTGAGGGGATGAACATCTCGGGTTTCATGCTGTCAGGAGAGCCGTGGATCAGATCTGCAGTGTGAATAGTGCGCAGTTAGGGAGATGGTTTCTGTCAATGGCTTTTCTGTGTTCTGAGAAGGTCTGGCCTCGCATTCACGTGAATCGCATTCTAGACTGATGAGCCCATGCGACAAGGATTGCGGGCGTGAGAAGACAGGTAGGCAGCTGTGACTGGCTGGGAAAGAGATAGGTTTCACAATTCAACATAGAAAGGGGTTAGTATACTCTGGTGCGCATGCGAAGGAGGCTCAAGACAGTGTAGTGTAGTGTATGTGCAGTCCCTGGTTCCTGGACAATGATATCATCCCTTGCACTCCCTGGCTCAAACTCAATGGTATCTTGAACCCCCGTCAGCCCTCTAGGCTGGTCAACTCGCATCCATAATTCATGTCACTCATGTCCTATCTAGTAAGCTCATGCAAGACCCAAATCCGCACGTTAGGTTGCACAGGAACAGCCAAGGGAGGCGGGAAAAAAGGTACTGTACATACACCTGAACAAGACACTGATGTAGATTCCCAGCTATCCACGTCCATCCACGAGTTCAGCCTGAACAAAAGAGGAAATGAAGTGTATAATCCCAATTAATGTACATACAAACAAATGCAACGAAAACAAAGCGCCTAAACCAACCAGTTGGTCGTATCCCATGATGAATATGCACGGTTCTTGCCAATATCAACAAGACCCCTGATGGCCTGTTACCCACAACGAATCTCGAACCCCGCCATTTTTGGTTCTTGTTGATACCCTCATACCGTACAATGCAATTGCCCGTAATCCTTTCCCGCCGCTGCCGTGTCAGAACCCAGGAAATGCTCGGTTCGAGAAGCCAATCATCCACCGGGTGCAGTCAAGCTTCTGAGTACAGATAACTTCGCACGTCCCGCTTATTTGCCTTGGCGTTGCTTGTGCTTGGGGTTCTTCGAGCTGCAGGTTGAAGATACATATTAGTATCTTAATGATGCGGTGATACCAGCAGGTGGCGCTTACCAGATGATGTAGACACGGTTCTTTCTCCGGACAGGCTGCGATTGGAATAGACAACATTAGCCGCATATCCACAGAACATGAACAATCTCCTTTCACCAAAATGCAGTGCAACTGCAGATTCCGACGTATAAAATCGTCCTCCGCGGGGCTCGGAGTAGTCCTACCTTGCATCCATCACACAGGCGCTTGACCGAAGACCGCGTCTTCATGCCTCGGACTTGCTCGACCTGTCGCAGAGTCGCGCTAGCCACGCCGGTCTGCTGTCCGGAGCGCAGCAGACGAAGACCATTGCCGAAGGGGAGCTTGGCCAATTGCGAGAACGACCGGGAAAGGAGACCGGCGGGTTTGCTGCGAGAGAGGGAGGGGAGGATCTGGCGGAGGGCACCGGTCGAGGCACCGAGGAGAGAGCGGACAGACATCATGGTTGTCGAAATGGCGGATAGACAGACGAATCTGATTCCGCTATATTCTCGATGCGAAAACAAGGAGCTGCAGCAGAGAAATCGGGACTTTTCAACCACCAAGGTGCGGCCGTCAATTGATTATCCGGAATTCCTTCGGAGCATTTTGGCCGGGTCTACTGTATCCCCGGCCTCCGACAACTGTTGAGTATCCCGCGTTTTGATTGGACGGGTTCACAGCCAATCAGCGCACACGCATCTACATCGACATGAAAGCCTCAGTCCATTGATTAATGTATCAGGTGAAACAATGGGACGAATATATCAGATGCAACATTATAATATTTCGGATTCTATGTACGGAATAATGCCTAGCACTCTCACACTAAGAAGAAACAGCCCAGGCTCTATCGTCACTATGCCCAACAAGAACGCCCATATGAATTAACAAGAAGGGAATCAAAAAATTCTTTAAGCTTTCTCCCAAACGAACGAAAACGACTCAAGAAAGTTGCTAAGCACGAAGGAAGGTTTGGTAGGTGGGAGAGTCGGTGTGCTCGCTGAAGGGGTATCCCAAGTCTCTCAAGAAAGCCTCAAGTTCCTCCTTCTCAGTCTCGGGGCACTGGATGCCAGCAAGCACCTTGCCCACATCTCCGCCGTAGTTGCGGTAGTGGAACAACGAGATGTTCTGGTTGGGGCGAAGAGTGGTCAAGAATTTGGCCAGAGCACCGGGGCGCTCAGGGAACTCGAACATGAACAATCGCTCATTCTGGACGCTGCTGCGTCCACCGACCAGGAAACGGACGTGCCGCTTGACGAGCTCGTCGTCGCTCAAGTCCTTGACACTCATACCCTCCTTGGTGAGGTGAGTCATGATCTTGGCCAAATCGTCTTGGCCCGTCAACGCAGACAAGGAGATACCCATCAGGACGTCGGCAGAGGCCTCGTGGGCATACCGGTAGCTGAAGGCAGTGACCGCGTGGGGAAGAATAACTTCAACGAGCTTGGCAAATGCGCCCGGCTTCTCGGGGATGTTGACACTCAGAAGAGCCTCCTTCCGCTCACCCAGAGCAGCACGCTCGGCGACGAAACGCAGACGATCAAAGTCCATGTTGGCACCAGAAGTGATAGCACACAACTCCCGGTTAGTGTCAGGGCTGGGATACATGCTAACATACTTCTTAAGGCCAGCCAGAGCCAGAGCACCCGCCGGTTCAATGATGGAACGGGTGTCCTCGAAAGCATCCTTGATAGCAGCGCATGTCTCGTCGGTCGAAACCTGAATAATTTCATCGATAACTTCACGGGCCAGCCGGTAGTTCTCCTCTCCAACGGACTTGACCGCCGCGCCATCGGCGAACAGACCCACTTCCTTAAGGAACACGCGCGATCCAGAGTCCAAAGACTGATGCATGGCGTTGGCATCGTGGGCCTCGACACCAATGATCTTGACGTGGGGCGCGATGCGCTTGAGATACACTCCAATACCAGCAATCAGGCCTCCTCCACCGACGGCGCAGAAAACAGCTTCAAGTTTCTGCAGGTTGGCCTGGCGCAAGAGTTCCATACCAATGGTTCCTTGGCCAGCAATCACATAAGGGTCATCGAAGGGAGGAATGTTGGTGAGCCCGTGCTGTTGCTGCAGGCGATGAGCTTCGTCTTTGGCCGCGTCAAAGTCGTTGCCGTGGAGAACGACGCTTCCGCCCAGGCGAGCGACGTTAAGGTGTTTGATCGCGGGGGTGCCCGAAGGCATGACAATGGTGGCGGGGATCTTGAGATGGCGGGCAGAGTAGGCAACTCCCTGCGCATGGTTTCCTGCACCGATTTTCCATTAACCCAAATGCTCCATATATTACCTGTCAAAGTAGGGGGGGTTGCTCACCGGCAGAGCATGCAATGACACCCTTCCACCGTTGCTCGTGAGTCAAGTGAGCCATCTTGTTGTAGGCCCCGCGCAACTTGAAACTGAAAACAGGAAGCAAGTCCTCCCGCTTCAGCAGCACACGGCACTCCAGGCGGTTGCTCAGGTTGACGGCATGATGGAGAGGGGTTTCGTCGATAATGTCGTAGACCCGGGACGTTAAGATCAACCGGAGGTACTGTAAATAACAATCGCATGAGCAACACGCCGGATGAGAAGAAAACCAGGATCACAGGGCACTTACATCTGGGTAACCATTGGGAAGAAGATAGTCGTCGGGGATGCCCCAGTTGTAGGCAGTCGAGTCCTCCCCTTTTTCCGAGGTGGGAGTTGCAAGCGCGGACTCAGTCAAGGTGAGGTTACTGACCTTGGCGGAGACCGGAGTCGCAACGCCGTCGTCAGATACTTCGCTGGGCATATTCAGGTCTTTTGTATGAATAAGATGCAGGGAATGGATGTTTGGGGAATAAAAAGAGTGTAAGAACGAAGCGCCAGCACCAAGTGGGAGTCGAGACCGAGAAAAAAAGCCGCGGTGGCACTGACTAACTATGATGGATAAGTCACCCTTGCTATTCCGCGGGGAGGAGGGCGAAAATTCCGTGATCGGAGCGGAAAAGTTTATGTCATCAAACCCTCTCTTCCAGCCCTAAACAATAGGATGTATTCATCTACCTGGAGAGAGAAGAGATTTGATGCTTAATTATCGCCTGAGTATTGCTTCCTTTATCCAAGCAATTTGCTTTCTTACTCCTCGCTTTTTAAGCCTTGTTCCATTTGCCATACAATTCTCCTTGCGGCAACAGGTGATTCTGATCTATGTGCTCGGGCAGTTGCCCCCCCATAAAAGCCATGGATGGCCGGTGGATCCCAATCGATCGCAAGCATAACAGTCAAAATCGAGTAAGGTGGCCAATCATCTTGTGCTCCTATAAACAGGACAGTCAAGGTTTTACTTGAGTGGTCAACGGACAGCTGCTTTTTCTCCTGCGCCCTACTGGCGCCCTACTAATAACAGCAATTTACTCAGTACATTGCTCAAATTATCGCCGGGGCCGTTGCACGACATTCTTAGTGACGAAGAATATGTGGTGAGCTCAGATCGTAACAGGCCGATGCCAGTTTTCACTATGTCTTGTGCTATATCTTATAATTACTTCTTAAATAAGTAGTTATTTTATCTCTGATATTACTAGTAGATTTTGTGAAGATTCAGTGAAGTCGAGTTATCTGGCACCGCAAGATGTACAGGTCATAACTATGCATTATAGTCCCGAACAATGAAGGCGTAAGTCAGCTTACTGTAAGTTTACCAGATACCATCGTACTGCCGCGTAAGTTACAATACACAAATTATCTCAAGGTTCGTTGCGACGTCATGTCACTTTCGGCATTGTTCGTACATATCTCATTTATCTGCGCGATATCGTCACAGAGGCAAAAGTGACGTGAAGAGTCACAAATTCATCCTCAGGTCGACCCTATTCCCTTGTTGTTGGAAGATACTCCCCCTGGACGGTGCCGCCTTACCTCAGTCACACATCTTGCGCTCTACCACGCACATTGCCACCTTCAATCAGCTTCTACTTTTCGAGTTCTACTATCAAGATGAGCGAGCCACTACCTTCCTCTTTCGATGACAACCCGTATGTATATATGATAAGACACCTACAGCAGCGGCCGTCAATCAGATGCTAACGGCCTTCGCGTCTGTAGTCAGTTCCAAGAAGAGACTTCGCTGCAGAAGTTCCGCAGGCGGCTCAAGCAAGAGCCGCTGATTCCGCTCGGTACGACACTCTCCCTCGCACCTACCTTTCATCTCCAATACTTCTATTGGAATTGTACTGACTGGACGGTTTGATCGACAGGATGTGCGGCTACCTGCTACGCCCTCTACCGGGCCTACCGATCCATGAAGGCGGGCGACTCGCTTGAGATGAACAAAATGTTCCGTGCCCGTATCTACGCCCAGTTCTTCACCCTCATCGCGGTGGTTGCGGGAGGCATGTACTACAAGACCGAGCGTCAGCAACGCAAGGAGTTCGAGCAGGTTGTGGAGGCACGCAAGAGTCAGGAGAAGCGGGATGCTTGGCTGCGGGAACTGGAGATCCGAGACCAGGAGGACAAGGATTGGCGGGAGCGCCATGCCGCCATCGAGGCTGCCGCCAAGGATGCGGGCAAGAGAAAGGCGACTGCGGAGCAGGACGCTGCTCGTTCGGCCCTCGAGCCCTCCGAGGAGAAGCCCATCGGGGTTCTGAGTGCTGTTATGGAGCTCTTGTCGCGGCAGAAGTAAAAAAACCGACAAAGGGGGAACGTTTTCTGATTGATTTTGGACGACCTGTCTGGGTATCATATCTTATTGTACATACATATATTCTCACTGCTTTGAAAGAAAATGCACACTCTCCGCTAGCTACTCTTCTCTACCTTCCTTGCATTACATGTCGGTTGGCCAGCTCAGCCGGCAATCTGCTCGTCAATGTATCTCCTCATCGTTTCGAACTCCGCTTTGCCAGTCTGGATACCATTAGCAATAAAGCAATCAACTCTGATCATGTTGACATACTGAAAGCAGGTATCGAATATGTTGCTGTCGTCCGTCAGTAGCGCATTCAGCGGGTATATGTGCTCAGCACTTACCAGATCTGTCACATCTCGATGGCGCTCGAACTCGTTGCGGGCATAATTGCGCAGCTCCTCGCGAGTTGGTGAATTAGGGATTGCTTTGGCAACGTTAGCAGAAGATACCACATCGCACACGGCAGAATGAGAACATCAGACGAACAATTCAAGGCTCTGATTATCTCGCGCCAAAAGGCAAGAACCCGCTGTCTTTGAATGAACTAATACGAGATATTAGCGAACCGGATTCCTTTTGGCATGTGATGGATCTACTGACATGGTCAAGGCCAATAATCGGTTTCTTAAGCTTGGACGGCTGGTTCTGAGAGATAGATGCCAGAAGTCGTAAGGAAGTCCGCATTGTTGCTAGGTGCTATGTGGTTATTCCCTGTACCAGTAGAGTCACGTAGAAGATCTAGTATGTCTTGATGCGGCCCCGACAATATGTTATCGCCCGCAGGTTACTGGTATCCTGCGGTAGAGTGGCGGAAGGGCAAGGCGGTCAGCAAGCTCATATGTATTCGTATGAAATGTTACCAGAGCCTCGGTATTTCCGATACATCCTTTCCATCCGTAATTGTATTATAACTCTACTACAAAACAACAGGGTACCTAGTAGTACTTGGCCTAGACTCTCTCTCTGGTTGGCCACATAAATTCTTTCCATTAATTTGGACAGTATGTTGTCTATCTATATAGAAGTCGAGAGACCAAGGTGATTTCTGTACATACGAGTCTGTCAGTATCGCGTTCTTCCAGATTGATAAATTTCAGACCCTGAGACCCGGTCCGAGCTCGGAGTATGTGTTTGTTGTGGTCAACTATTCTAATGTAAAGAATACGATTGGCAAGTATGACTGCGACATGATCGGATTGAGCACCGGACATAGTCGCCCGTGACCGGCTTATCGATAAGAAGCACAATGCATTGGGAATTCAATGGTCGAGTAAATACTCCGTAGTGCGACTCCGTAGAGTCCAGCAGTCCAGGTCAACAGGGCGAGGATCAGCCGATGGGGAGCACGTGACCTCGTGCCTGGCTTCCCCGAACTTTTTTTCGGGGCCGCAGAAAAGAAATCAGGACGCGGTTCCCGGCTGTCCCAAAAGAGCACCAGCGCTCATTGAACGTCCTCGGTGTCGTCGGTCACAGTCATGAGGTGTCCTACTCTTTCACGGTTGCCGTACCGTGCTGTCTCTGGCTTGGCCAGGACCCCTGTTCGCCTTCAGTCTCAGACCCTTCTTTCGCGGAGATGCGCATCCACCGCTGTCCTCCGTTCAGCCACTGTTGCTCCGGCTTATCAGTCCGTCCTCAGCAAACAGAACCAGCAAAGGAGGAATGCCTCCGCCACTGCCAGTGCTGTGTGAGTATCTCCTGGCTCTATTTGTCTATTCTTCTGTCAGTCTACTATATCTCCTAAAACACGCTTACTGACTCGTGTATTGCATCTTTCTAGCCTCGAGGCCGCCGCTGCCACCCCCGATGCTTTGTCGCAGGAAGCTATTATTGAGAATCTCGACCCTGTTGAAGCCGCACGCCTGGGTAAAGTCCGCAACATCGGTATTGCTGTAAGAAATCCACTTACGCTCTCTGGCTCGGTTGTCTACATTTGCCTAACATACTTTCTCGAATCATTAGGCACACATCGACAGTGGTAAAACGACATGTACCGAGCGAGTCCTTTTCTACACTGGCCGTATCAAGGCCATCCACGAGGTCCGTGGCCGTGACAGTGTAGGCGCGAAGATGGACTCCATGGACTTGGAGCGTGAGAAGGGTATCACCATTCAGTCTGCTGCCACGTACTGTGACTGGGTGAAGAAGGACAAGGAGGGCCAGGAGCAGAAGTACCACCTCAACCTGATTGATACCCCGGGCCACATTGATTTCACCATTGAAGTCGAAAGAGCGCTGCGTGTTCTTGATGGTGCGGTCATGATTCTGTGCGCTGTCTCCGGTGTTCAGTCCCAAACCATCACTGTCGATCGTCAAATGAGACGTTACAACGTCCCCAGAATCTCCTTCGTCAATAAGATGGATCGTATGGGTGCCAATCCCTTCAAGGCCGTTGATCAGATCAACACCAAGCTCAAGATCCCTGCTGCTGCTGTTCAGGTGCCGATTGGTGCTGAGGACGAATTCGAGGGTGTGGTCGACCTCCTTCAAATGAAGGCTATTTACAACCACGGCCCCAACGGTGAAGAACTTGTGGTCAAGGACGAGATCCCAGAGAAGGTCAAGGATGTCGTGGAGGAGCGGAAGCGCATGCTTATTGAGACTCTCGCTGACGTGGACGACGAGATCGCGGAACTCTTCCTCAGCGAGATCGAGCCCACCGAGGATCAACTGAGACAGGCTATCCGCCGCGCGACCATCGGTCTCAAGTTCACCCCTGTCTTCATGGGTTCGGCTCTTGCCAACAAGTCTGTGCAGCCCATGCTTGATGGTGTCATCGATTATCTTCCCAACCCTGCCGAAGTTCAAAACCTCGCCCTCGATAAGAAGCGTGACGAGGCTTCGGTCAAGCTCGTTCCTTACAACTCACTGCCATTTGTCGGTCTCGCTTTCAAGCTGGAAGAGAGCAACTTCGGACAGTTGACCTACATTCGTGTTTACCAAGGCACCCTGCGCAAGAGTGCTAACGTCTTCAACGCACGCACGGACAAGAAGGTCAAGATTCCTCGCATTGTGCGCATGCACTCCAATGAGATGGAAGATGTTAATGAGGTCGGAGCGGGTGAAATTTGCGCTGTGTTCGGTGTCGAATGTGCTTCTGGTGATACTTTCACTGATGGCCAGCTGGGTTACACCATGTCGTCTATGTTCGTCCCTGAGCCCGTCATCTCTCTTTCCATCAAGCCCAAGAACGCCAAGGATGGCGCCAACTTCTCCAAGGCCATGGCTCGTTTCCAGAGAGAGGATCCTACCTTCCGTGTGCACTTCGATAACGAGAGTGAACAGACTATCATTTCCGGTATGGGTGAATTGCACTTGGACATCTACGTTGAGCGCATGCGCCGTGAGTATCGGGTAGACTGTGAGACCGGTCCTCCTCAAGTCGCGTACCGTGAAACCATCGGCCACCGCGTTGAATTCGATCATCTGCTCAGGAAGCAGACCGGTGGTCCTGGTGACTTCGCCCGCGTTGTGGGTTGGATGGAACCTACTGGAAGTCTGTCGGAGAATGTTTTCGAGGAACAGATTGTTGGTGGCAGTATCTCGGAGAAGTTCGTGTTCGCCTGTGAAAAGGGATTCCACTTGGCTTGTGACAAGGGTCCTCTCATTGGACACAAGGTCCTGGGTACCAAGATGGTTATCAACGATGGTGCTACTCACATGACCGATTCTTCTGAAATGTCTTTCAAGAACGCAACCCAGCAGGCGTTCCGCAAGGCCTTCAAGGAGGCCAACCCCTCTATCCTCGAGCCTATGATGAAGACTGTTGTCACTGCTCCTTCTGAGTTCCAGGGTGATGTTATTTCTCTCTTGAACAAGCGTGGCGCTACCATCAACGACTCCGAAGTTGGTGTCGATGAGTTCACCGTTCAAGCCGACTGCAGCTTGAACGGTATGTTCGGCTTCAGTAGCAACCTCCGTGCCGCCACCCAGGGTAAGGGTGAGTACACCATGGAGTTCAGCCACTACGAGAAGGCTCCTGGTCACCTTCAGTAAGTATCTCCCAAACCCATCGACGTTGCTCGTTGCAATTGAAGGAATCAAAGGTGCTAACCTCCATTCTCACCCTTTTCAGGAAAGAGCTCATTGCCAAGTATCTAAAGGCCCAGGCCGACAGACACAAGAAATAAGCGACGGGAATCGCTTTCCGACCGCGTTAACTCGAATGTGGGGGGTAGCCCTCTCATGCATCGCGCGAGTCTCAGGCCATACTGGCTCGATCCCACCCCTCACATAATCACCTACGAGGGCTTCGGAGACGAATGAACTACACTCCGGCTCCTCTTTCTCCTGTATAACTGACTCCTCCCCAAAACTGGTCCGGCGTGTTTTTTGAATATGAGAATGATGTGTTCCTTTTTTTTCCCCCCGCTTATCTCTGTCCAAATACCTCGGGCTCATGTATTATTTACCAAGCAAAATAGATAACCCTTCTGCGCGTTTAGACCAGAGGCCCCTTCCAAGGCTGTTGTGTGGGCATGCAAAGCTCCGGGCTCAGAGGCATGGATGCATTTAACACAGATTGTACATAAAGTTTTTGATAGTTGGGTTTTGATATATCTCCTCTCCTGAACGAATGAAGTTGGAAGACACACAAAAGTGCTCTAGATATAGATAAGTATTTTGTTAGAAGAACAGACGCCTGGCTAATACCTCGCGAGTTTCGGATTACGCCAAATGCATCCGTGTCTATGTCTAGCTCGGGTCAGATATGCCGCCCCTCAAGCTCATGTCTCAGAACAAACACCTGGCTAAGGCTTCAAGCAGTACCTTTACCTCTTCGTACGAAAATTCGATCGTGTTCTCATTCACAGGGTGGGGTGCTGCGAGTCTTTTACATTTACTGTGGGAGATTTCACTGCGAACCCCAGTGGCCATCTCCTTGTGCTTTGGTGCAGCTAAATCCAACTGAAACTATACTTCAGCCATCAAAGGCTCTCAGCACAGCCAAGGCGGCGACCGAGAACGTTGCTACGCGATTATGACCTGGGAGAAAGCGTGAATAACCGAGTAATCACTCCTCCAATTCGAAGCGGGACGGCAGTGTCACTTACCTCCATACGCCACACGTTCCCATCGAACCTTCTTGACCACAGCAGAGTCCTTGGCCGAACTGCTCTCCCAGATCTGGACCTCATTAGGTCCGCCAACGGAGTCCCTTGTCGACACCACAATCTTCCCGGGGCTGTTCTCGACCGCTTCGCCCGTGGCCGCAGCCCAGACGCGCCGGCCTTCTTGCCAGGGAATCTCGACATCGTTGGCTGCATGTACGATGAACAGGTTAAGCCCCTGCTCGGCATACGCTGGGCCTGGATGGTGGTCTTTGCCGGTGGTGGTGGTGGTGGCGGTGCTGTTGTTGTTGCTGACGCCTGACAACCGCGCAACCCGGGCAGCCGTGTCCCAGCGGTCGACGATCTGGCGCTTGGCGTAGTCTTTGATCCCGGGGTAGGCGGAGAGGGGCGCGAGCATGGGCGGGGTGATGCCCTTCACGCTGTAGGAGTCGATCAGGCTTGGGACGTTGCTGAAGGAGGCTAGGAGGATCACGCCGGCGAAGGGCTCTGGGTCCTTGAGGGCGGGCTGGAGAGCCGTTGGGTCGGAGGACCCGAATGCGAAGCGTTCGGCCACGGCGGCAGTCACGGCGGTCCCCAGGCTCTGGCCCATGATGACGATGCGCGACGGCGGGATTCTGAGCGGGCCGGCGGTGAGATAATTGAGGAGGGCGACGCCGTCGGTGATGAGGCCTTCTTCGGTGGGTGAGCCGGTGGAGAGGCCGAAGCCCCGGTAGTCCAGGGCGAAGACATGCACTGGATGTGACGGAGTCGAGAGTCCGAGAAGTTGCCGGTAGATGTCTGGTCGCTGGGCTGAGGCGAGGTGGGCGGCGTTGCCGTGGACTTTGGGTTGAAGCAGGTGCGGTGAGTGACTTATAGTGTTTGTGTTGCGGAGGTGGGGACTCACAGTTGACAACGACTCGCGCATTGGGGTCATTGGCGAGCAGCTTAAATGCTGAGGTCTTGGTGTAGTCCTCCGCTGGGCCGTATCGTTCGTTCTCATGTAGGTCATCTTCGTGTTCCTTGCATAGTTGCAGCGGAAGAAGATGCCATGCGTACAAGGTCTCGTTGTCGGGAGTCACCAGGTTGAAAGGTTGTACTTGCGTTTCTATGCGGGTGTCAATGCCTGGTTATGTATTATTTATTCAGAGGATCGAGGTTTAGAGCATACTCAGGAATCCGAAGGACTCAACAAGGTTGATGTCCTGCCATCGAGTAGGATTCACTTTATGAACATAAAGTGCACTGGCAGGGCAATAGAAGTATAGCGAACGGGTCAGCTGTGAAGTTCTAAGTTGCTTTAATTCAGGTGAGTGGGTGGCAGCAAGAATCATACAAGCGTTGGACTACAGGATATGTGAGCGCATAGACGACAAGCACATAGAATAGGCCTCCGGCTGCCAGCGACCAGTAAGCTTTTCGGAAGATGGACTGAAGCTCAGCCATGTTCTGAAGAATGAGTTCGGAAATGAGTAGATATCAGATCATGTAAGCAATTGAGGGAGATTACAAGCATAGTATGTACAGTAAGTAGTCGAGGCGGAGGTTCGATTTAGCTGAGGCTCGTTTGCCCGATTCGGTCATTTTCCCTTCCGCTATTTTTCTCTCCGCAACTCTCCCGAATCCCCTTCTGACCAACCACTTCTATTATCACCTACATTGGTTCTCTGCGCAATGCTCCCCATGTATTGCACGGGGAGCTTATACAAAAATCATAAAATCATAACCTCAGTCAATCACCTATCCTGCTAATAACCTCCCTATGGCCGAGAAACGGAGACTCTCCGCCCGCGAACGCCGCGAACCTGCGGCGAAGCGACGGGTGTCCGAAGCCGCGCCTCGATCCTCTCCTCAACCTCAACAATCATCCAAACGAAAGGCTTCAACGCCTGTTGTTGCCCCGGCCCCCCCTTCTCCGCCGCCTGAAAAGATCAAAAATCCTCTCCCTACCAAAATCAAGGATGGAGAAGCTCTCCCCACCTTGCCCGCTCCGCAGCCGGAGGACCTCTCGTCGAAGGAGTACCAGTCGATCGCGGAAAGGTGCGAATTGCCCTCCAGGCTGCTTTTCCAGAACCCATTCATCTCAAGGAGCATTTCAACTGACTGAATCTGTGTAGCACGATCCTCCTTGCCTCCCTAGAACGATCGAAGAAGAAATGGCTGAGCGACGGCATTCTCGAACGGTACTGGACCAAGCCCAAGAAAACGAAGAGAGAGCAGATTGAGGGCAAGAACCCACCTAAGGAGAGCATGTCCAAGGTTGGAGCTTGCAACATTGTGGTCGGCCCGCACCTGTTCGATGCTATGCTATATACGGTGAAAGACCCCAATGCGCCGCCGCCGATTCAGTATACACCACCCCAGCGTCCGATCGTACATTACGGCCATCCCAATAACTTCCAACAATATCATCCGTATCCGCAGGGTCCCACTCCTCCACAGCAGTCACGCCAGCCGCAGCAACAGCCGCCAAAGCAAAAACAGCAGCAGCAGCAGCAGCAGCAGCAGCACCCTCCTCATGGACCACAAGCTACTCCAGGCACGCCTCAGCCGGCCTATCCTCCTGCCAGCCATCCACCTCCACCGCATCCCGCTCGAACACCTAGCCACACTCCTCACCGGACTCCCGGGCCTCAAGCAGCGCAGCGACCGTCTCCAACACAACATCCTCAGCCGCAGCAACAGCCGCCACAACCGCCGAAGCCCAGCCCAGACCCAGTGATTCAAATGCTCGCAACTCGAGCTGCCTCCGACCCGGACCTCAAAGCCTTGATGCGGGTGGTGGCTTCCAGCAAGGCGTCACAGGAGCAATTACGTGCTTTTCAAGCTCACATAGATGAACTTAACGCTATAATCAGAGCAAGGGAGCAACAGCAACAAAGACAGCAGCAGCAACAGCAACAACGCCAGCAGATACAGCAGCAACAGCTACAACAGAGACAACCACTACCACTTACTCCTGCTCATCCGCAGGCCGCGCCCAGAGCACAACAACCTGCCCACCAACCACCTCAGACGCCGCAACAGACGCCCCTACCCCCTCCCCAACAACGACCTCCGCAGCAGCCAGTGCATCCAACCCCGCAGACACAGCCTCAAACCCAACCACATCCGCGTCTTGAAGTCCAAGTTAAATCATCGCCGTCTGCAGGCCCAGTAGCAGCGCAATCTGGCGCGCCATTACAACCCCCGCAGACCCCAACTCCACAAAACTCGAAGGCACAGCAAATCAAACAGGAGCCCGGGTCAGTCGCGCAAATCCAACCGGCCACACCACAGGCCCCTCACCCGCCTGTTGCACCGGGGCCAGCGCCAGTCGTGGAAATTACCAAGCAACCCACCCCAGGAGGACGTCCCGCGCCTCCACCGCAGCAACAGCAGCAGCCGCAACCGCAACATCAACCACAACAAGCTCAGACACCAGGACCACGCTCAGGGCCATCTTACCCGCAATATCAGCAACCTCCGTATCAAGGCCACCCCCCTGCAATCCAGTCACGTCCACCGCAGTATGGATCACCCACTCCATACTATCGCCCCGCCCCTCCGCCGCCGCCACCACCACCACCTCCAAGGCTCAACTACAAGTCCGTCGTCTTTGAGTTCACCTCTCCACTGACTCCGTACGGTAGCAGTACCTCCGGCCACGCAGGCTCAGGCGATCGCTATCTATTCCCCGAGTACACGATCCTAGAATGGCTCCCCGGAGGAACCACCGTGCTCGCCTCCTTCCTTCTCGTGCGTAAAGTGGATCCCAACGCGCCGTTCCCCATCGAAACCGGCACCGAACCACCGTCCAGGGCCAAAGGCAAATCTAGCTCCAAATCCAAGTCCAAGAAGGCGGCGGCAGCGGCAGCAGCAGCAGCCGACAAGAACAAGACACCTGCGGCGACACCCTCTCAACCAGAGAAACCGAAGGACGCAGAGAAAGAGAAGGAGAAGGACAAAGAGCCAGCCAAGGAGAAAGCGGAAGAGAAACCTGCTTCTTCCACAGAACCAACGCCCGCTACTGCAACCGCAGGGGACAGTAAACCCGCAACCTCGAACCCCACCCCGACAGAAGGCGGCGGCGGCGGCGGCGGCGGGGACAAGCCAGCAGCCGGCGAGCAGCAACCCGACAACACCAAAGCCGCCGCTGCGTCCACCACCACCACCTCAACCTCAACCACCAGCACAACAAAGGATCCGGCCACAACGGCGAAAGACGCCCCCCTCCGCCGCCGCCGCCGACACCCCGAAGGACAGCAGCAAGAAAAAAGACGACGACCCCAACCTGAAGGAGTACTACCAACCGGTCACGTTCCGGATCTTCAGCAGCAACCCCAAGGTCCTCGAGCCGCTGAACCGGGTCGTCAAGCCCGCCGACGAGGTGCGCAAGTACATGAATGAGATCATGGATCGCGCCGAGCGGGCCCCCGACGGGTTCCTGGCGTATCGTCTGCCGCGGGAGGAGCAGGAGGATGCTTCCTCAAACAACAACAATGCCAGCAAGGAGGTGGATGATTCTGTTGTTGGTGGTCGGAAGACCGGGGGCACGCCTGTGCCGCCGGGCCAGCGGTGTCGATTCAGCTCGCGCGGGAATAATAAGGCGACCGACTCGGATGTTGAGCTCAGTGAGCAGCAGCAGCAGCTGGGTGATGAGGACGCGGTTGAAGAGGAAGAGGAGGAGGAAGAGGAGGAGTTATTGGATTTCTATGGGCCGCCTACGGGCCTTCCGCCTTTGGGGGCTTGAATATTTTCAGCTCCCCCCCCCACCCGGCGCTGGCCACTGTTACTGCTCCTTTTGAAGGTATATTAGAGATCAGATGTAAGCTTTATATAATTCCCCATTCATCAATGACTACGCGGTGCAGTGCGTCCGTCGCAGAACTTTCCCCCAAACTCTTTGTAGCAAGTTCAATTGATTCTCGTTTCTGGTATCAAGAAAGCAACAACAACGTATCAGAACCTCCCATATGCGCCAACAGATAAAGCTATGTGTAAAATGCTTGACCGAATCCAAGTTTGCGCCCGGCAGGAATCTCTCTGCGCAAACATCATATACGATCTCAAACTGCCGCGAGCGTGTCACGATCGTAACCAATCAAACCACATGTGAGCCGCCTCGTCGACTATTGTCCCCAATGATTCCGGCAGTCTCCAACAGCCAGCGAGCACTTTCAGCAGCCGAGTCACCCGCCCCGGCCTTGAGGTTCAGATTCCGCCGCCGCTCCGCCTCGCGCGCTTCGAAGTCCCACTTCGCCTGTTGTAGCTCGACGGCGCTTTTCCCGTCCTCGGAGATGGTGGTCGTCGGGTCGGGGACAAGACCCCAGATTTCGAGGTTATAAATGTCTATGCTCGTCTTGTAGGCGGTTTCGGCCCCTATGCTGGACACTGGAGGAAGAAACGACCCGTCGTGGCCGACAGGGTGGACGTAAAAGGTCGCTGTCTCGAGATTGGCATCAATGGTCAGACTGCCTGCCCCGAGCGGAGTGGGAGGCTTCTGGTTGCTTCGTGACGAGGGCGGAATCCGGCACCCTATAGATACTCCCGAGCTTGTGGAGAAGTAGGCTGCGGGAGTGTCTGGCTTTTGTACAGAAGGGGAAGAATTTCCTTGCAGAAGCATGTGTTTTAGGGAGAGTTGGAAAAGACAGGGGAGGACTGAGTTGGAGAATTTGGAAGATGAGGTAGTTGACGAGGGCGACTTCCACGGCTGTGGTAAGTATGCGCCAAGGATCATCGGGCCGTTCGTCTCGGATACACCCTCAAGAAGGAGTAGTGTACCCGATGACCAAGTGAGAACGTTGTGCGAAAAGGATGTGAGCGAGGAGCCATGTGCGGCCGTCGAAAAGACAGGGTGCAAGCGCGTATGGCCGCGAAGAAAGTTCAGGTCCTCGGATGTAGAAGGAAGGAAGAACGAGAGGTGAGAGATGATGCTCGTGTTCAATATCACTGATTCAAAACTTCCCTCCAGCATAATCGAGGGCGACGAGTGCAACTGCAACTCGTTCAAAGCGGGCTTATCGGATTTCGATTCTGTCAAATCCGGCATATCGCGCTTCTGGGACAGGTCCAAGTTCTTGCTGAACAAGAAGTGCTCAAACAACGGTGTCAGAGGGTCAAACAAGTACGGTAATGAGGAGGTCACGCTTTCTGCGAAAGACTTGTACCTGATCCCTCCAGATGATTCCTGGTGGAAGGCTGCGATAATGCTGTCTGTTTGTTTCCGGATTGACTCCATGCGAGTCCCGCTCAGATTCGAGGTGTAGACTGCTGCAGACTCGGTGGTCTTCAGATCTGATATCACAATCAGCAGCATAAGCAGGCGACGAAAAGTATTTTCGGAGATTCGAGCTTCATAGACCGCTCTCTCTACGCGCGAATCATGTTTGAAGACCTCGATCGCGTCGAGTGATTCCAAGGCAGCCAGAGCCAGGTCATCATCCTCTTCATCGTCGTACCCGTCGTTAGCAGGAGCATCTATGGCGAAACCGGGAGCATGGGACTTTGATGCAGTCTCGCCCACTGCGTCGTCGTCCCCTTGGGACACATCGATATTTGCCGACTTTTCCTCATCTCTCCTCCCGACATCTGCTAGGCTCCCAAACAGCAGCCTAATGCGATCCCTGCGTGCCTTTCTGAGTACCTTCCCATATCTCTCAGTGAGCAAAACCACGACCTTCACCATAGCATCGAATGTGAGTACACTCGGCGCCAGCGTGTTATGAAACGGGAACGCTCCCAGGTACGAGACCATGCGAAAGATCACCGGACCCGCGTCGAGGGGACATTGAGAGTCGCTGCTATCTGGGACGCCAAGGAAGTCGGAGAGTATCTTCTCATTCCAGTACTTGACCCCGCCTTGTTCAATTGCGCGGCTGTAGAAGTTGTCCTTGAAGTGAGTGAGCTCCAAAGGGGTGAAGCATTTTGTGGCGAAGCGCTCGGCAAGCACGTAGCTCAGCTCCTCTGGGGATTATTAGATCCAATAGTTGACTCGTAGAAGGTGGGCAGGTAAATATTAGTTTAGTTCGCTACTGACCTGGAGATGACTTATGACCCGCAGACTCAGTGGACTGGTATGCACCCATTTTGAAGAGTAATAACGCAGAGGTTATTGGTCCTTCTTCTTCTTCTTCTTCTTCTTCTTTGAGATAGTCACCAAAGAAAAACGGGTGGCATGTGTCAGAAATGTACCAGGGTTGCAGGAGTGGGCAAGATAATTAAGAGACAGCTGTCGCATTAGCACTGATAGTATGAGTTCGGGACACTCCGCAGTGATGACGACGTGAACCCACCGCGATGAGTCGGGGTGACGATCGCTATCATCTGCGGGACTAAGAACGCGGAAGTAGAACTTGGAATCAATACGGATGTATAGAAGAAAGACTTGAATTGTCTGTCAGATGCTATACCATGATCAGGAGGCATGAGCAAGTGTGGTGTAGATGATGAAGGGGAGAGGGGAGGGAGAGGTACGGGGTACAATGGGGAATGTTCAAGGTAGGTTAATTAAGGATGTTTCCGCATGCGGGCGGGCTAAAGCAACAAGTTAAGTTGAAGGGCCTCGGCCCCTCACCAGCAGGGGTTTTTGCCATTTTGGGTTAACCAGTCCCGTGTACAACTTACACTATACTGTTCCTAATTCCTATACTTCAAGAATCAAGCTTGTACTCCCTCTAAAGTATGTATCTCAATTTGAGCTAATAGTATTCACATTCGTCGTGTCACAATTGACTTTGACTTTGATTAGCCGCTTGCTTATCCGGCCACACAGAACACCCATTGATTCGGTACTGTACTTCGAAACGAACATGTGAGAGTACCGGACTCTACAACATGACAACACCGACACCTCCCATTTTCTTCTCATCCGGCAGGTTCTTGTCGTTGACACCACCGGGGATGGGGGCCGTCCGGTAATTATAGAGGTAGTAGTGAAGCTGGCCGTCGCCCGCCCCGAATTTGAGCTGCTCCAGGAAGAGAGGGTTATCATGAAGGGTAAGAGCATTGAACACATCAAAACGAGCCTATCGTAGAGAATATCAGTATTCGGAAAACAATATCGAGCGAGCAACGATCTGACGTACCTTCTTCGCCAGGATCAGGGCATCATTCATCAGCATCAGAAGTCGTTCCTTGAGCGCCTTCATATCGCCAGTGAAAGCTGTTTCGGTGGCATAATAGTAAAGGTAAGCTACGCGCAGGCAATCATGCTTGGGGTGCTGAATGATGGTGGATTCCAGGTTGTAGAAGGAGAAGAAGTCGGTAATCTTGTGGGTTTCCGGGTCCTCCGCCACGTAAGACCAAACCACCTGTTCCCGGTCGGCCTCCCCTCCTTTGTGCACGAGCCAGTGTTCGATCTCCTCGCGGGAGAAGGCCTGGTTCAAGTCAAACCGCTTCAGGTAGCGTTCCAGGAGCTCGTGGACGGCATCGATATCCTTGACTTCCATGGGGCGGAGGTTAGGAGTAGACGTGACACTCGGAAGGTGGTTCTTGCTAATCTGTCGGGCCTTGGTCGAACCCTTTGGCAGATGCGAGAATCCGACCTCATACAGCTTAAGCCAGTCCAAAGGACGGTGGTAGTACCGACATGAGCTGACGGGAGTTGGCAGGACCACACCCGCGGTATAGATGGCCTGAAAAATCCCCTCGAGATAACAACGGCGAGTGATCTCTTTGATGAGGACCGGTGCAAGACGCTTGGATCGTAGCTTCTTGTGGATGCAGAGGAAGTTGATCTCGGTGACCTTGATCTTCTGCTCGCGAACGCGCAACTCGGTAGGGATACCGGAGATAGCGGCGACAAGCTTCCGCGACTTGGTAGCGCGAACTCCGACGTGCCATTCCTTCTTCCAACCCGGTGCCATCAGCGCCCTGGATAGAATATATCGTCAGCCCCCGGTATCAAGACATCCAATCGTGGCCTGGACAGTGCACGAACCAGTGTAGGAATGACTTCGAGTATCTGAAGCGGAACATAGCATTGTCGTCCTCGACGTAGTGGTAGGTGAGCAGATCCCACAGCTCCTGGAGTTCTTCCTCCTTCGTGAGGTCCAGTGTAGCCCACTCGAAGCCTTCGATGAGCGGATCGGGAGTCTTCGACACTTTCTCTGGATCAATCATCTTAATCGGCCCACCGACATCGTTGGCAGCGGCAGCGGCCTCATCGAAACGAGGCACAGGCTGGGTCTGCCAGAACTTGTACGAGGCCATATCTTTCTGGTTCTTGCCTCCAACAGCCAGACCAGTCAAGAGCTCGGAGATATCCATCTTGCGCAGGGCCTCCGCGGCCTTATCCTTGTCGAGTCCGGCCAGCTCGTTCTTCAGGGCGGGGTTGTTCTCCAGCAGCGCCTCGGCCGCTTTGGGGGTCAACTTCTGTTTCGCCGCATCCTAAGACAATCCGGGTGAGTTTTTGAGACGGTGGATTAGCTAGGATCAAGAGAAAAACTGACCTCATCATTTGACGCCTGGGCGGCTTTGCCCTTTTTATCCTTGGATTCTGGCATGGCAGCTGGCGCGGTTGAAACACGTGGAAATTCGATGGTCGGAGACCGCGAACAAACAAGAAGAAGTGGGTGCGGGAAGGTTTTCTAAGCCCGCCCCACGTTCAACCAACAAAAGTAGCCGTCCGTCCCTTGCGCTTGCGGGGTGCATATCTACAGGTACGTCCATCGGTATCTACACGAAAAAGGACTGACTTGGTCGCGGTCATTCCAATCAATTATTTCCCGGTATGTGTGGGAATCTAAGCTTCCTTGTTGAATTGTAACTAAACAACGCCTCCTAAATCTATCATAATATAAAGATCGTCGAACAATAGAGCATAAACAAGGCATAATTGCTTTGTCTGGGTATCACCAATTTTGTTGTTGAAACCTCATGGTGAGGCAGGCATAATGCAGCCTTACTGGGGAGCAGGCTTGGTCTCAATCACATCCAAGAAGCCACCAACCAGGTGCAAGCTACCAGTAACGAATGTCATTACAGGAGCTTCATCCTGACCTACAAGGTCCTTTTCTTTAACAGCGAGCTCCCGAGTAAAGTCGACAGCTTCCTCAATGGTGCTATACACCTTGACTTCAGTGCGGGGGTCAATGGACCGCCATGTGTCGGCAAGACTGTTCTGGACATGCAGTTTCTCCACATCCGTCGCATTTGTGTTCATGCTGACAAGATCGGGTCGATAACCTGCAGCCTTGTAGGTGACGTTGGTGCAGAAGATCGCGTGAGTAAACGGTTGTTCCGAGCCCAATGCCGTAGCCAAAGTCTCGTAAAGAGCCTGAGCCAGGGCGTTGCTATCACGGGTCTGTTGATTGAAGATCAATACCCGCTGCTTCTTTTGCGCAACTGCAGCAGATGAAGAGTTCGCCTGGATCTGAGATGCAAACCATTGACCAGCCAATCTGATACTTTCAAGCGTGTGGCCGCCATCGATGTACCAGGTAATACGTTTCTCAGTGCGTGTCTCACAACGACCGCCCAGACGGGCCTCTTCCAGACCCTTGCGGAATTTTGCTGGTAGGGGTTCCTGCAGGATGTCTGACGGCACCTCCCCAATGCCGACCGTCCGAAGGAATCCAGCCGCTGTCGCAACTGCCACTGCCGCATTTGTATACTGGAAGTCACCAGCTAATCCGAGCTTCACGCCACCATCAGTTTTGAGCTCGGGGTGGCCCCTCACGATTTCCAGCGAGGTTCCCTTCTCGGCAGCACGTTCGAGCAGGACTTTCTCAGCAGACGGAGGCTGGGGGGCGCTGAATCCTTTGGTGCCAGATTTGATAATGCCACCCTTATGCCATGCGATCTCCTCAATAGTGTTTCCCAACATAGCAACGTGGTCAATGCCCAGGCTGGTGATGGCTGTCGCAGCTGGCTTTTGAATCACGTTGGTGCAGTCATACTCTCCGCCGATTCCACATTCGATAACCGCAGCATCGACTCCTTCGCTGATGTAGGTGTGGAATGCCATCAACGTCAGGTACCGGAAGTACTGAGGTTTCGTTCTAAGATTCGCAGGATCTTCGCCGGCTACTCGAGCAGCTTCTTCCAAACGATCCCACACTTCAAAAAAGTATTTGGCAAACTTCTCCTCCGAGAGCGGTGCATTGTCGATCTGGATACGCTCTCTAGCAAAGCGCAAATGAGGTGAGGTGTAGAGCCCGACCTTATTGAGGGATCGCGAGGTTGAGTCCGAGGAAGATAGCTGCGAGGCAGTGTACTGTGACAGGATCGATGCGATAAAAGCCGACGTGGAGCCTTTACCCTTCGTGCCGGCGACATGTACAGGATTGATACGGCTTAGATCCGAGGGCTATGGACCAAAAATGGAAGAGTCAATACTGGAGCATGACAACGTAATGCGGGGGGAGCACGCGGACCTGATATCCGATACGACGAAGCCACTCAACAGTTTCTGGAATGGACAACAGATTCATGTCTTTCCGTGACTTGCGTAACTCTTCCACAACTGCAAAATTGGTTTGCAGTGAGTTCAGAGCTGCAATTGCAGCCTGCACCGTATCGTTAGACTTGACGCTCAGTGGCTTGCGGACAAATAAATGCCTGCGGGGAAACCTGCCTCATAATTGCGAGACATAATGGTGGAACTGGATGATATATGGCGAGTGAAGTGAAAGTGGAAGCAGGTAGGAAGTTTGCGAAAGCCCCTCATCAGGGTCAAGCCAGTCACTGCTCACGTGCAAGAGGGCTATTGCGCATCGACTAGTTAATTGAGGGACTTATTTTTTAAGGCCGTACTTGTCTACACGCAGTCTTAGTAGTGTCATCAAGCGCCGGTAGCTCCGAGCTCGGGGCGACCGATAAGGTCACGTGAATAATAGATAGATATCTCAAATCATTATCGACGAAACAGCTTTACGCCTTGATTCTTACATGTGGGAAGTGCAATGGGAAACTTTATATTTGACAATCAAGTGTTGCTGGTAAGGATTCTAGTTTGGCAGAGACAAGGTGTAACGAGAAGGTGTTATTGAAACATGGAAAAGTGTAAGCAGAGGGTGGATGTAGAGGGGTAAAAGACGTGTGTGGCTAGATATACACCAAAGAAAGGTGGACAAGTAAATATTCTATAAGATGTAGTGCAAGAAGTAGTGCAATAAAAGGCCTGTCCCTGAAACTACTCGATCCTTGTTTTTCCTTCCTCCAAGAAGACCAGCCTTGCGTTGCTATAGCCTCGCTGGTGTCTTCTGACAGGAAGCCACTGGCCGATGACCGGATCCGTGCGAGCCTTGATGAGCGCATCTTGATACCCTTCAGAGCCAGCTGCGGGTGTGTTCAATTTTGGCCAATTTACCTGGAGCGCTTGCGTTAGTACCGAAGACCACATTAGAAGGTGTAGCACCAAGACTTACATAAAGCATCCCATGGGCAAGTATAAATCGGGCACACCAGGCGCTGACAACAAGCCAGAAGATAACGAACAAGCGCAGTGGCCACACAGTGGAGTCTGGTAGGCGTCTTGTGAAGGTTGAGACCAGGATCATAAAAACTCCAGCAGCAAAGATGTATGGGATTGACTGGATGATGAGCGGTCGGCGATCGAGGAAAAGCTGAAGGCTACCCAGTGTAGAGTCAGGAGGGAGATAGGCACCCAGAAAGACATCGAAGCCATCTTGTCGGGGACCGTCCAAGAAGTTGTTTCGCACGTAGCGTGTAATAGAATTGTTCAGATCCTGCAACATGCCTGCGCGAGTACGCTCTCCTGTGCGAGTGAAATCGGTTTTGAGTGCGCCCGTGCCAGAGTAGGATTTTGAGACCACGTCCGCGTTGTCGGCCCAGATGTTGCGGAAGAGATTTTCGAACTCACGGTCGTCGTTTGCAGCCTCTCCTGGGCGTAAAACTCCAGCATCGATGAGCTGACGCGTAAGGGCCCAACGTCCCAGCATACTCTGCACCACATTTGTGCGATCAAGGCAGTCCATGCAGTTGGTCCGGACGACGCTGGTCTGCGAGGATCGGATGTCCAGTTGTCCACCGGGGACACCAGGGTCTTCCACTCCCCGGAAATAGCCACCCCGCGTGAGACCGTCCATCAACCGATCTAGCAACAGCTCTGCACGATGCCATTTGAGTCCCTTCGTCTCATTGTGAAAGTCGAAGTAGATATAATGTAATCTATCCATCTCGTTTTGTCTGAGACCGGGCTCAACAGCGTGCACCTTTTCTGATGTTGCGTCATCTGCCTCGGTGTGTTCGGTAGAGGACGACATTAGTATACGGACCAACTGCTCGTAAGCATTCTTGACTCGTTCTTCCCGACCTTTGTGATTCACCAGGTTAACCAAGTAGTTTTCGCCATATAGACGGATCTGCTCGGAAAAGTGCTTGCGGGCCGCATCAACAGCAGTTTCCACCCCACGGACTTGAAGCTTCGGTGTATACTTAAGATTGTTGACTTCGGCCCAATACACGGGAACACTGCCTCTGGTTTGCACAAACGCCATTACCTGGAGGTCTTGGCCAGAGCCACCCAACTTCTCCTTCGCTAGAGACTGACCTCCGGCGAAACCAGAAAGACCACCCGTTGCGTCATTCAGGATGACAATTTGCTCGGTCTCGTTGTAATTCGAGACGTGACCTTGATCATCAATACCACGTGAGAAATATCTTGTGCCTCCACGATATCTGGATCTCCGCGTAACAAGGGCAAATGTGAAGGACGTTGACTTGACCTTTGCCGGGGTTATCCGGAGCATGCCGAACATGACGGGGAGGATATATGGATCAGCACCCGGCTGTGGGCCGAGCCGCACACCAGTCGTGTCATGTTCTCCAAGGCTGAAGTCGATCAAATCGGATTGTATGAAGCGGTTCCAGAAGAAGCGGTCATCCGCTCGCTTCCACATAGGCAGGCTAAGATCACTCTGTGATTGACGCTGGAAGCTGTTGGTGATGTCCAGGGCGTAGGAGAAGTACATGGGTCCAGTACGAAGGTGTTCCTTCAACAGTGCCAGATATGTATCTTCATCGGAATCATGTAGAGGGCGCTCGCGCAGGGGGAGGAACTCGGTCGCCGCAACTTTGTATACCATGTGGCCACGTAGCCTGCCCATGGGCTGAGCCTTGGTGATGACGATGATGTATTTGTCTAGCACAATCAGTAATAAGCCCTCAGAGACTATAACGCGACAGTCAACATACCCAGTTTCAATTTGATGATGCCCAGTATACCAGCGATACTAGAGATACGCTTCGCACCGGAAAGGGTGCCATTTGTGAGACGCAAGTCACCGGTTGGACGCTCGACAACAAGAGTAGGGGCATTAGGTGACGAGGGAGAAGTGAAGGCATAGTGAGTGGACGAAGCGTGAAGATTGATATCGCGAAACGGTAAAACGGAGGCAGCCATGACTTTCAAGTTTACCCCGTAAGGGAGCAGTTGTCTGGAAGTGGGAAGCGATCAAAGAAACAAGAAAGAGTGAGATATGAACCTTAGCGCATAGCGCGGAAGATATGATATTTGAAAACAACTGCAGTTAAGGAAAGGAAGACTCAAAAGTCAAGGCAGGAAGGTAGTGAATTCAAAAGTGGGAGGAGGCGGGAGGAGAAGGTGATTGAATGTGATGATGACGATCTCCAAGAAAAGGGTGTGGAAAGGCAGTGTACTGTACGTACTACAGGTACTTTAGGCCGACAGGCCAACACTGCGGGAATTCAAGTCACTTTCGCTTTTAGGTCTAGGCTAACTTGGGGGCACCGCTTTCTACTTACTAAGCAGCGGGGGCATAACCAACCAACTAACTACGGTAACATAACCATTAACTTAGACTGGTGCCTGTCTATTTTTGAACAAGAAGATAAAGCTTTTTATGTGATTATTCTTTGGGTGCACCGTAAGATGATACATATTGATTGAATTTCGTTGACATTTTTTCAACCTTTCTTTTTGGTTTCCTATAATCTGGGGTCCCAATATCCGCATGTTTTCAGCGCCGTTTCCGCCGCGGCATCAAACTACCTTTCATCTCACACACAAAGGAGGAACGAAATGAGGGACTGATGGTTTTTCAACTTCACTTGTAAAACTGTAGGGCTTTAGTATGCCAGTATGACAGCAGACCCTGACGTCCCCATTCTCCTCCGATTCCACTTTGTTTCCAACCTGAAAAGTATCCATGGGGGTGGGGGGTCGCGAAACTATTGAGCCATACCGTTCCGACCTCCAGCTGGCGTGCAATCCGCTCCGCCGTCGCCACATCGAGCGCCCAAACACAGGCACTCAACCCGCCCTCGGTGGCATTCACGCGGTGAATGAGCTCGGCCTCGTCGGACCACTCGAGAATGGGGTTAATAGGCCCAAACTGTTCTGCCTGGACAATGCGGGCATTGTCGGGCGAGCGATCCACCACGGTTGGGGAAATGTATAGCCCCGGCAGCGGGTCCCCGTCGCGGTCGGGGCCGCCCACAGAGAAGGTGTGGGCTTGTTTGGCGCTATCAGCGAGGAAGTCTCGAACAAGATGGTACTGCATGCGATTCAGCAGCGGACTGAGTAGCGGGGAGTGCTCGGGCGCTGTCGATGACGATCTTCTGAACTGCAGCGATGAAGGTGGAGCGGAACTGCGGCAGGATGTCGCGGTGAACGTAGACTCGCCTGGTGGCCACATACATCTGACCCGCATGGAAGAAGCACCCCTGAGCCACTCGGGCGGCTACCTCGTCCACTTCGATATCAGCGCAGATGATGCTGGCATCGTTGCCCCCGAGCTCCAGGGCCACGCGCTTGAGCGACTGCCCCGCGCTTTCTGCTATGCGGCGGCCTGTGGCGGTGGATTCGGTGAAGCTGATCTTGTCGATGCCCGGATGGGTGGTCATGCGCGCCTCGATCTCGTTGCTCCCATTAGCGCCTGGAGTACCCCCTTGGGAAGGAGATGTAGTGTATATTCGACGCATTTCAGAGTCGCGTACGGGGTCATTGGGGAGGGCTTTATGCTCACACAGTTGCCCATCACCAGGGCCGCTGCTATCTTGGCCATCGCCAGCACCAGCGGGAAGTTCTACGGGCATATGGCGCCGACCACGCCCAGCGGAGGATACGTGGAGACAATTCGGACGAATTCATCCTCATATTCGATCTTATGGGACATGACTGGGCGGTTTGAATCCCAGACTCGTTAGTCTTGCTCTGAGAGAGAGAAATAGAGTCCTTGTTTTCTTTTGTTCTTACCATTAAACCGGAGGAACCGCAAGGCATTGTCAATCTCAATTTTCGCCAGAATCTCCTGCAACGCCAGCCTTCATTAGCCAGCCCCCTAACATAGCAAGGGTCAAAGGGGAATTCGCATACCGACTTGCCTGACTCCGTGGAAAAGAATAGGACGGAGCTCGTCTTGCCGACTCTCCAGCTTATATGCTATCCGGTGCAGACATTGCTGTCGATCTTCCAGAGGCCGGGCTTTCCAGATGGGGAATGCCTCACGGGCTGCCTGTACCGCCTCATCTAAATCGTTATCCGTAGCCACTGAGACCGGTCATAGCTCGGTGAGGGTTCGAGGATCGGTGACTGTCACTATGTCTCCCCATGTCGTTGTTCCGAGCGGATGATGTTAGAGAACATTGTAACCTTAGTCAACGCGTTGATGGTAGCCGCACACCGATCTACTGCAGAGAATTAAAGTGCTCCATGCCTATCTTGAAAGAGACAGAAGAGACCCAAGCATAAAAGGGAAAAAGAAGAAGCAAAGAAAAGAAATTGGAAAGCATTGGATAGCAGAGAGATCATAGATTTCATACTAAATGGACTAGCGGCGGGATATCCCCACCAGCGGGCGGGAGCCATGCGGGAAAATCTCACACCCGCCTTGTCTGTACGGCTTGTTCGGTGGGGCGGAAGTGGGAAGATGCCGTTCCACTACACAGCCTCGGAACAACATAAAGGTGAACCTCATACGTATTCCGGGTGAAGGGCTCAAGATATCTTCCAATTCGATCATTGCTTCCAGTTCTGGGCATCAAGTCATACGCGAAACCACAATGGTGGAGCAGCCGGTAGCGATTCTTAAAAAGGTAAGTATGCAGCCTATTAACTTGCAGCCCCCTCGTCAGGAGCATTGGTAAAACACTACTGACCATTTTCGGACAGCAAGGAGCAGACTTCACCTTTACAATAACGACCGCAACTATTCCAACCATCCAATCTCGAGAAATCCTTGTTTGCCTGGAAGTGGCGGGTTATCTCTCGCTCGCCCGCGGACATCTCGGGCCCTTGTAACATCATCCTAGGCCATGAGGGAATCGGCAGAATTGTGGCCGTAGGCGCCATGTGTGAAGCCAAAGCGGCGGTGGTTGGCCAACGAGTTGGAATTGGCTGGATCCGCGATGCCTGTGGCGCGTGTCCCAACTGCATGAGCGCGGAGGCGGGCGAAACCAGATGCACCACCCAGGTCTTCAGTGGCCGAGATGTGGCCGGCACGCTGACCCGATATGCTGTCGTTCCGGAACGGTACCTGATGCCTCTGCCTGAAGAGAATCCCAGCGAGCTGTTGACCCCGATCATGTGCGCCGGGGTGACAGCTTACAAGGCCCTCAAGGTGGCCAACGTTACTCTCGGATCGTGGATCGGTGTGTCCGGAGCAGCAGGCGGCGTGGGCTCCCTGGCAGTGCAATATGCCAAGGCTATGGGGTATCGGACGGTGGCCATTGACAGCGGGGGCGGCCCTCAACAAAGAGCCATCTGTCTGGAGGCGGGGGTTGATGTCTATCTTGACTATGAGGAGGCCAAGCCAGATCTCCGAACCAATCTCCTTCGCGCTACGGGAGGTGATCTCAGTGCTGCTGTTCTTGTCTGTGCCGGGGCTGCCACCGCGTATGAATGCCCTGCCGTGCTTCGCTTACTTTGGAGTCCTGGTCGCCGTGGGGATTCCCCCACCGACGTCGAAAGTCTCCTTTCACCCCCTCACTTTGATTGACTATGGTATTCGATTCGTCGGCAGCATCACCGGGAATCGCCGGGATGTCCTTGAGGCGGTTGGATTTGGCCTGTGTGACACTAGATAAGGCTTGTTCAGCATGTCATCTGTGTGTCCTCAACCATCGAATCTGTTCCTATCAACGCGACGACGACCCGGATGCACATGTCGGCCATGGTTCGAGGACCGATTGGCGCCCTCTTCCAAGAATTCGGCTTCGGAAACCCACCCGCACAGTGTCTTAGCAATCGCAGAAGTCCGGTGACTGGCAGCTTCCTCTTTATGCAGCGAGTGGTCAGGTCGGAAGGGTTTGTGAGCACCTTTTGACTATGGCACCCGCGAGTATCGATGGAGGATTCTGCAGAACAACTGGAATCAAGGACGGTCAAATGCCTTGATTGCATCCCTGACCAGCTTGCTAGACGAAAGTCCCACAAGCAGGAACTTCTGGGAGAATTCACGAGAGGATGGCCGGTCGGGAGTGCTCTTGACCCCGAGCTCGATCGATGTGCTTGAGCTGTCAACAGAGCCAGCTACGCCTTTGGTGGATTTACCATCGCTCTACTATGTCGATATGCTGCTCTCAAGCAAGTCATAAGCGATCACGAACGTGATCCGCAACACTGTAACCCACAGAGGTCCAAGTGCAACCAATCCCTTCACCTGATCCCCCTCCGTGGATCTGATGTGCTGCGAATTCCTCAGCCCTACCAAGATAGCCAGGATTCTAGACTTATTTTGGTCTTGCTGGTACCCCAATTGACCCAGCATCCACCGGCCGACGTTCGATCCAGTTACAGCTTACCCTGCGCTCGTATCCGCCATGATGCTGATCGGGGCCTGCCTCTCGCCCGACTACCATGACTGTCGCATGGCCAAATTCTGGTTTACCACAGTGGAGGAGTTGATCTTCAGCTAGGAGGCCTTTGACCGTGGCTTATGTAAAGGTATTCTGGCCACCGTAACCGACCTCTTCGAGACTCGGCTCCAAGTTCTCTACGCCGGCTATTGTGTCTGTCTGTACTAGACATGGGAAGGATCCGAAGACGGCAGACACCGCGCACAGCGCTATCACCATAATTCTCTCATCTGGGTACTCTGATTTGTTGAACTACTGCGTTCTCGAACCTCCTGATTACTGACCGGGCCGATTACAGCTCGCTTGAGATACGGGACTGCAATACGCAACCCTCCGTTCACTCAACATTGATAACTTCCGAACGTTCAATTGGCGAGAGTTCATTGTGCGTGAGTCGATGATCCGGTTCGCAGCTCCTGTCTCTTCCCTTCAACTGGGGTGCGGGAAGGAGGGCCATACTGACGATAGACGCAGACTTTTCACCTACCTCTTCAACTTGGATGTAGCGTACGCCATTTTCAGGGGCCAGCCGCCGGGGCTCCTGCTGCAAGAGCTGAGATTTGAACTCCCGATCTCGAATGTCTGCTTCCAGGCGCCGTCTGCCGATGCCTGCTTTGTCACACTGCGTGCGTGGAAGCAGAATACTGCGGGAGACCATCACAGCCAGGACCTGTACTCAGTAGTGTGGGGAGTCTGCAATCAAAGCCTCCACCCGTTTGAAAGCGATACGCTCGAATCTGAGAACGTTGAACATGTTTACAATAATCTCCGGTAAGGATAAATTTTTCCCTGCTGAAGCTCTCTTTTCCTTACCTTCTCCTTTGCCCTTCTCCCAACCTATATATCATCCCGATGAGAACCAAAAACAAAGATACCTTTATTCGAACAACCATGGATTTTCTGCATCGATCTAGCACTCTCCGTAATGGGTTTACAAATTGAAGCCATGTTTCCTACTACCACCGACACCCAATGGGTCGAAACAGGTCTCCAGCGCTGGAAATGCACCTGGGCGTCCGCGGCGCGCTCTGCCGAGCCGTTGCACCCTGGGGAGGGAGTAGCCGGGTGAGCTTTACGCGCTATGCCCCGGAGTATTGGCTTTTATCCAGCTTGGTCCTCAATCGATTGCAGAAGCTGAAGGGGGCGGACACAGGCGGCTGCCAGCGTCCATCATCCAGCCACGGCGACCAGGACGATCTCGGTTACAGCCTTGATCGCAGTTCTCCGCGACTGAAGACCCTTAGCACCGAGTTCCGGCAGCTGAGTTTCACTGGAGGTTAGACTGGATTGCCTTGTCGTCTCCCTTCTCAGTATTAGTTGGTATAATCAACATCTAAGTTTCATGTTGCCGTTCAAGCATATTCTGCCTCGAGAGCCCGCCTTGCCGGCCTTCTGCCCGCCAGCTCCGCTTCTAAATATTCTGCCATGTAGTTCCGCCTAGCGATGGCAGTTTCCCAAGTAGAATAGCAAGTAAGGAATAACCAGTATGGATGATTCATATTCGAAAACTTAGTATGACCAATACCACCCAGTATTAACGGAGAGCCTTTACACAAGGAGAAAGCTCCCATATGGGGCAATTTGCAGGGGAATTTTTGTAAGCACACATACCACTCCTGCACATGCAAGCAGGCGCCGCACCGCCCCGCACATGGGCCAGTCGGCTCAAGCCAGGTGTGGCTGAACCCCCTTCGTCATCTCAACCACCGCCGTCGACGGCAGGCCGCCATCAAACCTCCCCCAGCGTCCCGATCCCGCCTTTCCATTATCTTCATCTCTTCTTGCACTCTTAAACTTTCCACTCCGGGTCGAGTTCTTCTGCCACGCTTCCACCGACAACTACATTATCGCCTTTTCTCTTTTTTTACTTTTCAAAGTTGTTCTACCACCTCCGTCCATTATGGCCACCAGAGCCGCAGCAGGCGCCCGTCCCGGTGCCAGATTCGCTCAGTTCAAGCTGGTGTTGCTTGGTTAGCTTCCCCCTGACTATAACCCCACTCAAATTCGTCGGAAAAAGAAGACTGACTTATGGTCTATGTTTGAAACAGGAGAAAGTGCCGTTGGAAAGGTGAATAAGTCGTTGAACTCATTGTTCGGGCGGTCGCTAATGTTCTCATTACTTGGCAGAGTTCGCTAGTCCTGAGATTTGTTAAGGTTGGTTTACAGCCAGATGGCTTCTTCTTGACCCCCCAGGGGCGGAGCTCATATGGGGTAGGATCAATTCGATGATTACCGCGAGTCGACTATTGGCGCCGCCTTCCTCACACAGACAATCTCCCTGGACGAAAGCACGACGGTCAAGTTCGAAATATGGGACACCGCCGGTCAGGAGAGATACAAGTCCTTGGCTCCCATGTACTACCGCAACGCGAACTGCGCTGTTGTTGTGTACGACATTACTCAAGCGGTACGGCCTCTATGTGCTCTCGGACCAGCATGAGCGCGCGGAAATGCTAATGTGGACATGATGGAACAGTCGTCGTTGGATAAAGCCAAGTCATGGGTGAAGGAACTACAGAGGCAAGCGAACGAAAACATCGTCATCGCTCTTGCAGGCAACAAGCTCGATCTTGTAACAGAGAATCCCGACAAGCGCGCGATCGCGACCGCTGATGCCGAGGCCTATGCACGTGAAGCCGGTCTGCTCTTCTTCGAAACGTCGGCCAAGACGTCATCTAACGTGCGAGAATTGTTCACCGCTATTGCGAAAAAGCTGCCTCTCGATCAGGCAGGCCCACGGAACCTGCGAGCTGCCCCCCGGCCCGGTGTCGATTTGCGGCCAGAAGCCCCTGGCACTCAGGGCGCGGGCGCCTGCAACTGCTAGAAATCGCCTTCAACTCTGCCTTTTTAATTCTAGCATTGTCATGCCTTCTCTCTACCCATGGGTGTTTTAGCTTTCGTTGGTTTGGTTTGTCTAGATGCGAAAGACGTGCTTGCCTGAGCCTGAACACTAATTCCGGTGCAAACCCTGACGACTTCAATCGGCAGCTGAGCATGGTCGCTATATGTTTCTCAAGAGATAGTTATCCGGCATCCCTAGCCGAATTCTTGGCGGCCTGGATTTGACACGGAACATAAACCGGTTTCTCGTTGTGGCCCCTAATTCGAGCAGCTATTTTACAGTTCTGTCGCCCACTTCCCAAGGCCTCTGAACTCATCCTCTCGAGGTCTATTCATGCCACTTGTGACACTCAACTCTGGCCATGTACACGGGTACAATTGGCTCTGGTGAAGTCCACTCCACGTTGCAGGAGACAGCTTAGGATATTCGGTGTTTCGATCTGTTCCCTCTGTGTTTTCCTATTGCTGGCGTCTGTATCCTTTGTTAGGGGTTGAGCTGTTGTTTTTCTTCTCGTTTTCTTTTTTTTTTACCCTCAGAGTTTCTCAGTATGCTATGCCTATATAATACTTCAATAATCTTCCTTGCTCTTGGGATGACGTATTTGATCCTGAATTGCGCACATGTGGCTCTCTTTACCGGCGCACTGGAGGGTCGAACAAGAATAGTTCATATTAGCTGTTTAGTGATCATGTCTTTCTATGGTAAACTCATTTAGCGGGTCCAACCCAAATGTAGTATTCGAGTGACGCTGCGCTCACCAATGGATGATAAACTATACAAGTCGTAATGTCGTGACAGAAGAAGCGGGCGGGCGGTGCGAACCAGGCCGAGCTGACTGAGCCACTATTTGGCGGTGCAGGATCGGAGCGGATCGTAAAAGCACCTACTAATCCCAGTTCCAGTTCCGGTCCGCGTTTTCACCTTCGTCAACATCAACCCCTCAACTTCTCTCGCTCCCAGCGCTTTCCTTCACAGTAGTGCGGCCCACGATGCTGCGCTCTTCTGTTGCCACAGGACGCCAGGTGCTACTGTCCTCCGCTCGCCAAAGGACGGCCGCGCAATGGCTGTCCAGAGCTGGAGCAAGCAGCCAGTTCTTGAATCAGGTACGGTGACGGCATCCTCAGTTTGCGGATCATCGATGGCAGATTGGTCACTAATATGTCTTTCACGCTCACTAGAGATTCTTTGCCGATGCTAGACCCCCTACTACCGGTGCTCCCACTCCTGTTACCCCGTCCTCCGCGTCGCCTGTGCCCCCGGAGGTTGTCATTCCTAAGCCGGAGCCTACCGAGCAGGGTACTGTTACCATCGTCACTCGAATACACAGCAAGAACTGCAGACTGATCCGATCACAGGCTCCGAAGCTCCTCCCGTCGTGCCCACTCCAGCTCCCAAGAAGGGTGGACGTTTCCGCCGATTCCTTCTCTACCTGCTTCTGACTTCAGGCTTCGCTTACGGTGGTGGCATTTTCCTGGCTCTCAAATTCGACAACTTCCATGACTTCTTCACCGAATATATCCCCTATGGGGAGGAGAGCGTCCTATACTTTGAAGAAAGAGACTTCTACCGCCGATTCCCGAACACCCTGAAGAGCCAGGTCCGCTTCCCTATTCGTCGGGATGAGAGCAACCAGATCACGATCCCTAGCAAGAGCGGATTGACCTCGAAGGTTGCCGAGGAGGAGTCAGCTGAGAAGGGCCCCCACATGAGCTCCGCTCAGAAGGACAAGGGCAGCGAAGCGCAAGTCAAACCTGCCGCTGCCAAGCCCGAGGAGAAGTCCGCCGCAGTCGAGAAGGCCAAGGAGACGAAAGCCGCCAAGGAAGAGGCACCTAAGCCGGTCGAGAAGGAGGAACCCAGACAACCTGCTTTGCCCGCAGTGACCCCTCTCGAGTTCGCCAAGGTCAACGAGGGAGATGAGGCCATTGTCCAAGAATTGGTGAAGACTTTCAACGATATCATCACCGTGATCAGTGCCGACGAGAGTGCCCCGAAGTTCTTCAAGCCTGTTGAGAAGGCCAAGGAGGAGCTTCAGAAGATCGGCGATAAAATCATCGCTGTCCGGGAAGAGGCGCGCCGTGCTGCCCAGGAGGAGATCAACCAGGCCCATGCTACCTTCGACGAATCCGCGCGCGAGCTCATCCGTCGCTTTGAGGAAGCTCGTGCGACCGACGCTGCTCAGTATCGCGAAGAATTCGAGGCCGAGCGTGAGAAGCTTGCTCGCGCTTACCAGGAGAAGATCCGCACGGAGTTGCAGAGAGCCCAGGAGCTGGCTGAGCAGCGTCTCAAGAACGAGCTGGTCGAGCAAGCCATTGAGCTTAACCGCAAGTACCTCCATGAAGTGAAGGACCTGGTCGAGCGTGAGCGTGAAGGTCGCCTCAGCAAGCTCAATGAGCTGACTGCCAATGTCAGCGAGCTGGAGCAGCTCACCACCGGCTGGAGAGAGGTCATTGACACCAACCTCAAGACCCAGCAATTGCAGGTTGCTGTTGACGCTGTTCGCTCGGTCCTTGAGCGCTCTGTGGTTCCTCGCCCGTTCGTGCGCGAGCTTGTTGCCGTGAAGGAGCTGGCCGCTGAAGATCCCGTTGTTGATGCGGCTATTGCCTCGATCAACCCTACCGCCTATCAGCGTGGTATTCCCTCCACATCTCAGATCATCGAGCGCTTCCGTCGGGTAGCCGATGAGGTTCGTAAGGCAAGTCTCTTGCCCGAGGATGCGGGTATTGCCAGCCATGCTGCCAGCTTCGTTCTGAGCAAGGTCATGTTCAAGAAGGATGCTGTTGCTGGCAGTGATGATGTTGAAAGTGTTCTCTGCCGGACCGAGAGTCTTCTGGAAGAGGGCAACCTTGATGGTGCCGCCCGTGAGATGAACAGTCTCAAGGGCTGGGCCAAAATTCTGAGCAAGGATTGGCTGGGTGAAGTGCGCCGAGTGTTGGAAGTGAAGCAAGCCCTAGAGGTAAGACTAACTCTGATGGCTATGACACCTTGTTCCTTTTGCAGTTCAGGCTAACACATATTGTTCTTACAGGTCATCGAGACTGAAGCGCGTCTACAGTGCCTGAGGGTCGAGTAAACCAATACCCTCAGCGTTTGTTTAGTTCTCTTGTATCTCATGCCTCTTCTTCTTCCTCCTCCTACAGGAATTGTACCTCTAGTTCCCATGTGCGTTGTTAGACTCAATGCTAGATGTTTCCTTTGTATGACAAAACGGTGAGACTGTACAGTATTGTAGTTATTTATGATAAAAAATGATAACAAGGTCATTTGGTAATGTTGACTTCTATTCCGCCGGCAGTGGTTGTTTGCCATGTTTGCAGCTCCACGTGCTCCGCCGCATGATGCAGTTGGGGGGATTGAAGTGTACTTACTTACTGTACAACTGACGTTGTCTCGACAGCACAGACCGACGAACGTGCACCTATTCGTGTTGCCCCTAGTTTCT